ACGCTTGGCCAATCCAGCCTTCCCACAGCTCCTGCACTCAGGTTGTCCCTGCGCTGGGGTCACTTTGACCATTTTGCCCATCTCCTCAGATGGCTTCAACTGTCATGTGCTGCTTTCAGGGCTTAGTTCTGCTAGAAATATTTCTCCTGTATTACAACAGAAATGTTCTGTCAGGAGGAGCTGAAGCCAGACACTTATACACAGATCTTAGAAAAAGGCATTTCCTAGGACTCTACAGGAATATGTTTTGTCATTTGCTTAAACAAATGTACCAGAAACCCACATTCCTTTATGTCAACTTTAAATTGTCACTAGGAGGTCTCTGCCATTATCTAGGTAAGGACAGAAGGTTTTTCTTAGTACCTTTTACTGAGGAAGTTTAAAAATTTTGGATCTTTGCAAGAACACTCATCGCTGCACTTGCACGTATTAAAGGAGGATTTTAACCGTGCATGAAACTACGATATGTTCCATAGCTGCAAACCATTCTTTTCACAAGTACTTCAGGTCTTTACCAGTGCAGCTAAACTGCTGTCAAAATAAAATATAATGCTCCTCCACATAGACATACACACCCTCACATATATATATACATAGTATATACATATCTGTGTGTGTATCAAAATATGTTTGTTCTGCAGAGCTCTTCCCAGGGGCCAGTCTTTGGGAGTGGCATTAAAAGATCTGACCGCCCTGTTGTTTTTTTTTTATTTTTTCAAAATCTCTGAGATTTATATGTCAGTGTAAGTTTATGGGACCTAATAGTTGGGAATAGGTTGCTTTTATCCAGGGAAAGCTAGAGGAGATTTCCTCTCTTCCACAACTGAGCTAGCATCACTTCTGTTCGTTTTGGGACTGGAGTTTTTGCCTAAGCTTTATTCCCTCCCTTCTCACCCCCCTCCCCCGCCTTTTTTTTTGTTTGATTTTAATCTGCTCATTCTGCTATAAAAGTCTGCAAACAAAGGACAGAGCATTGTTTAACACATAAGCCTGTTTCCAGTCTGCTTGATTGATCAGTCTGGCATCTTCTCTTGGCATTAAATAAAACCACAGACTTCATATTCTCCTAAAAGGCAGTACACGTCAGTGGAATCTGCGTTGTTACGTGTTTCAACAACTGTCATGTAGTCTGATGAGTGACCTTTTAATTATCATAGGCTTAAAAACTGAACAATAATGAGTCTATAATTCTCCCCCTGCAAAATAAAAATTAAGATTTTTGTAGCAGTATTTTTACAATTTCCTTCTCATTCCTTCAAATGTAGTAAATCAGCTTCATAGCTCGAGTTTTCCATGAAATTAGACTGAAGCGAAGGTGGTGATTGAAGCAGATAGAGCACGCATGCCAAATATCAAATGAGGACGTGATGATATTCAACTTCTTTCTAGCACGTTTGAGAAAGAGACATACTGATTTGAGTAGTCGTTACTGTTGGGTGTCAGCTGTTTGTGAGGCGTTTCCCAGGTGGTTATAGGTGAAAATATTGCAAGGTAGTCCCTGAAATACCGCCTTTTGTTCAGTGCCTGGTGAAATGTTGTTCCAGTTCGCTCAGGATGAAGACAGCTGCATCGGTGACTTCGCGGTGGTCGAGTACGAAACGGCCGAGCAGGCTGAGGAAGTACAAGAGCTCGCCGATGGCATGACCATCAAAGGCAAGAGAGTCCAGGTGTCCTACTGTGCTCCGGGAGCACCAGGCAGAAGCACGTTGGCAGCGCTTATCGCAGCTCAAAGGATGGTGAGATAGTTGCAAATCCATTTGCAGAATGAGTTTGATAAATTTGGAGTGGCCTGAGTTGGCTTGGAGGGATTCAGCTGCTTTGCATTAGGAAAAGGAGCCAAACTTTTGGAAGCATTAGCTTTTCTTTTTGTTTTTTGTTTAAATCTAGTCAGCACAATTCAGTCTCCTTCCCAGCAAAGCATGGCCATGTTCTGTAATTCTGTAAAATATGGTCATAAGGTATCACAAAGTTATAGTTACATAGTTCTGGGATTTTAGTAGATTTAATTTTCCGTGAGAGAAATTGTTCCAGCTCAAAACAAAAGTAACTGGAAGTGGTGTCGTTTGACAGGCTACAACTTGGTTTAAAACAGAGAGGCAAGAATTTGTCAATTATAAGATAAATTTCAAAGTGGGAGAAATAGTTCAATTTCATGCTCGATATAGAAGAAAGCTTTTTACACCCACGTGTCTTATCAAATTATTTCCTAGAAAATTGGGTGTGCCAAGTGTTACATGAAGCTGTCTTAAATGTAGAAGAACAGTCTCATTACTTTGGCTAGCTTCAGCTCATATCTTTATAAAAGAGATGAGTGCTGCTATTACAAGATAGTGATGTTCGTGTTCTCCTTACTGGGAACTCTGTCTTGATTTAAAGGAAAAAATAAATAAATACGTCTCAGGGAAAATAATACCCCTCAGTTTGGGGGGAAATGGTTTATTAGACATCTCATTCGAGGGAAAAGGAGCCTGCAAAAGAGCAGGACACAGCGAAGGAGATGTTTTTTCTGTGTAAAAGGAAATATGTATGTTACCATGGCGCACGTTTGAGGGATTTAACGGATTCTTCATTTTCTCTCAATTCTAATTTTTTTTCTCTCTCTTAATTGGAGATGAGGAACAATAGGAAAGGCTTGCTTCCAGAGCCAAATCCAGTGCAGATTATGAAAAGTTTTAATAATCCAGCGATGTTGCAAATGCTACTGCAGCCCCAGATGCGTGGACACGCTGTTAAGCCTGGTAAGTTTCTTTAAAACTCAGGTTAAAAAAAACCCCAAACGTGTTCTTGGTGCTACAAGTCTTTCAGCAAAGGAAGGAAGTAGGAATACTATTTTAAAATCTGTGTGGACACTGTTTAAGTGCGTGTAGACACTGACACATTTTTGAAAGTGAAAGCAAGAGGTGGATTGCTACGCTGTGGTGTCTGCGTAAAATTTAGCATTACCTAAAAATGTCCTCACGTTAGCTCTGTGGTCTCTGAATATTTATATTAGAAACAGGTTAAAAATGAAAAGTCTTTTGCGGCTATCATTAAAATGGCAAGTTTAAAACTGATTCTGGATAGGAATTTTGCAGCCTGAGTCTTTCTCCCATTGTTTCCAATATAAATTGTTACTGGCTTTCGTAACGGCATTAGTCAAAAACGTTTCTCTGCCTTCTCATCAGGATGGATGTGAATAAACATATTAAAGCAAATGATGAAAGTATTAGGAACACGAATGGGAACGGGTAATTTGAAGAGTTATGTGGGAGACCACTAAGAGTCTGTGACATAATCTCCTGGGAGAAGATACACAGAAGTTGTGAACACTTTAGTAAAGAAACACTTTAAAGCTGAAGTTTCCAAGCTCTTTATATAATGCTGTGGTCTTGCAGTGAACTGCAGAGATTTCTGCATCTTTGAGCAAAGCTCTCGGGTTAAGAGGAGCTCTGTGAGAGTACATTTGATCTCTGACATGCTGTTAATTGCAAATCACAGCTGGGTGTGGTGAAAGGTTTCATTAATAGTGACCTTTAGTACCCTGGAAAGTTTTGTGGAAGTCAAATCTGAGAAATAGAGAATAGAAAGATCTTGACTTGCCTAACTTGGAAAACACCGCAACTTTGTCTTGTGTTTCGAAAACAGTTCTGGGAGCATCCGCAGGTTTACCTCACCTGATAAATTCAGCAGTTGGCCCACCTTTTTTGCAGCTGAACAAAATTCACCAGGTATGTGGCAAAAAACCCTTGTGTTGAAGTGGAGATCTTAGCATGCAGAGTATTCTCAAAGTTCTAAGAAATCACAACCCAAATCAGTTTTCTTTCATTAAAGCTCTCTTTAAGAAGAGCACTCTATAGGAGGTGCTTATGGGGATGTAAGAGAAGACCGTGCTTACTGTCCACAAGTGTGTTACTTTATCTTAACTGAGCTTTTGATTTGCTAACACCTGTCAATGTAGACACAACTGGCCATTGCTGCCAAATAAAAAACCAAGCCTCTTTATGTTAGAGCTGAAGGAGCGCGGCACATCCATTCCTCGTGGAGCTGCTCCCACACACGTCCTATAGGGACTTGATGGCTTTATCTTACTCAAGCCAAGAAGCTTAGCGTCGTTTTCTTCATTTTAAAGCTTGCAGGGACCAAACTGTGCTATATATACCATGAAAGATAGTAATTTGCAGATGTTAATGCTTAGCCAAAAACCCCCAAGCTGTTTAAAGTGTTCTTGGACTATCTGTGATTCGCTGTACGCTTGATACGATTTCCATATGGACACCAGAGTTTCTGAAAGATGCTGTAAAGGATCTTTGGGATGAGTTTGCCCTAGAAATTGGAGATGAGTGGCACCCACAACCAGAGCTCCTCCCTGCAGCGGTTCTCCTGGCCTCTGCCTTGTGTTTAGGTTCTGTCAGAGATTTCTTCAGCTCTGCCAGGAGCCAAAACTTGCCTTTAATATTCATAGTGGGGATTTTCATAAGTATCTACAAGGGACTGGAGTCAGTCGCTTTCAATCACTGTTGCTGATGTTTCAGAAATTCCCGTTTGAAAACTAAAATCCCGTTAAGTATTAGGTATTTCTGCTGTTCTTTTGGCAGACTTGCAGATCTTTAAAAAGAGCAAATTAAAATGCAGAGATACTCCGTATGTTGAGTATATTTTGCTCATCTGTTTCTTTTCTCCTAAAAACTGGTAGGTGAATATATTCATTTTGAATAAATGCTACTCAATTTGGCCCCATCAAACAAGTACAATGAAAAAAACATGAATCTTTTCTTCTTTTTTTTAAATGACATTTTCAATTGGTATGTTTAGTTACTGCTGCTCTCTCTTCAGCCTTGGAGAGTCTATGCTTCCTTGGAAGGCAATGTGAATGTTTTGTAATCACAGGTGGAGACAAGGCATGTTTTACACACTTAACAGTGTGATTGATGATGATCCAGTGTTTTTTTGGCTTAAGAGTGCTGCAGCCAAAACAACTTAGCGTTTTCTCTTTAGAGAGACCTGCAAGTCTAATTCTCTTCCAGGGGGCTTCCTGCCATTTAATGAGCTCCGAACCTGGGCTAATAGCCTGAGTTTTATTGACAATGGTTTGATTATCCCAGTTTGTTCTATTAGGCACATTTTTCTGGTATTCAGTGGCTTAATTCAGAGTATTCTCTAAAGCCAGAGAACCCGGTCACTGTTTTTATTGTCTTGAAATTCAATGTTGTCAGAAGAGAGAGGAATAAACAGTGTCTTGCCTTGACTCTCCCCACTTGCCCAGACACACACCCATTCAGCTTCCTGCATGTCATGGTTTTGTTATTTCGTATTTAAGGTTTTGTAAAGTAATATAGCGAGAAGATTTCAGGATGATTATTCCCCAACAATATAAAATAATGTATCTAAAAAAATTCAAGGGATGGTGATTTGAACAAATGGGTTATTCATCCAGTATCTTTCAACTTCGTTTGTTTTCTTGTAGTTAACAATTATCATGTGGCAAAATAATGCATTTTAAACTCAGTGATGTGTTTTCCTTAGTCATCCAGCAGTTTCTTAAATCTTTATTAAGCCAGAGACTTTCTTTTGAGGCTTCTAACCAACCTGATTATTCACTCTTGTATTTCTGTAAGTTTTGCAGTTGAACTAATGTGTTTCCTTTGTTAATGTAACCAAGTTTAGAAGGCAGACACAACTTGGGCTTGAAAATATTTGTGAAGTGTTTTGCAGGAGGCTGCAAATCTGCAAAGCCATGCATCAGGAGAGCTGCCTTCTTTTGGGGTTCCGTCTTCATTACCTGGGTTTGGTGATATTTCCTATGTAGGATCTCAAACAAAAGAGGAAGTCCGTATTCAGTGTGATTTGACACAGTCAGTGTCCCATGTAGCTATTCTTTTAGTGGTTCTGGAATGGCATTTCGTGTTGGATGGTTGCCCGTAAAAAAGAGGAGAAAGCATCTCTGGATATTTATCTTTGAAAATAAAGATACTGTTAGGTAACCGTAAAGCAAGGGATGAGAGTCGCTGATGGTTACAGCCAGGTCCTGTGAACTGGGCAGGTTGGAGATGATCTGTTAGAATTGCAGCACAAGGCACAGCGCGGATGTTAACAAACAGGGAAGCCCTTATTCACAGAGCTCGCAATCCTCTGAAGTCCTCGTGTCTCGTCTTTCTTCTTGGCGCTGTAGGTAACTCCCCGAGCTAGTCTGCCTGCAGAGCCTTCACACATATTCAGCTTTCCCTTGTTGGCTTAGATACAGGGAAGTCTGGAATGCATTTGGGGTTTGCGCTCCTTTAAAAGCCACCGGAAAGCAGACGTGTGGTCCTGGGGGGCAAAAAAGGGCTGGGCGGAAGAGAGGTTAAAAAACCCCCTTGAAATAACTTCCTATGAGCAAAGCAAAAATTCAGTTCTGTGGAAGAAATAATTACTTTATTTTGCTGCACGAACTCAGAAACTAATTTAAGTTTCTTTAAGCAGTATCACCTCAGAACGTGCTGTTTTTCCCCGACTGACAGCTAACGCTTCTTTTAATAATTTCACAGAGTTCAGTTCTGGGGAGTACATCTAACTTACTGCTGCAGAGCCCCGCTCACCTCCCACTGCCCCAGCAGCAACTGATGAAGATGGAAAACCTTCAGGCTAATAGTGTAAGGCCATCACTTCAACTTGGGCCGTCTCTGGACGTTCATACACCTGATAAAGCGAATAATTTCTTTCACCTAGTATAATGTAACAGCTTAGCGTATCTATAAAGATTAACTGAATGTGAAAGTTGTAAGAAAGAGCTGCAGACAGATTAATTTAATCATTTACACAGGTTTCTATTCTTCCTTCTAGAAACCGGGTTTGCTGGGAGATCCTCCAACAATGCTACTTCAGACAGTTCTGGGAATAGGGGTAATGCCAGCAGTGAGTTCAGGCATGGGAGCCCGTGGAGAAGCTCTTAAGTGTAAATGACATTTTATTTTGTACCAAATCAGTAGAAATGCTTAGCTTGAAATTACGCACCTTGCTTTCTCCCACTGTAGCCAAAAATATGTTTGAACCTTCTCACTGCGCAGTAAGGTAGGCAGAAAGCTGGACAATAATGCACGTTGTGTAGCTGTATAGTTAAGCAAGATAATGAGTTTCCCTAGCTCTGTAACCCACTGTAACACGCTGGTTGAAGCAGGAAACAAACTTGAAATATCTTGCCTTGTTGCCTGGCTTCTCTCCTCTGTTGGTCAGGGAAGAAAAAGTACGCTGTGGGGGCAGTTGAATATTTGCAGGCTATTAAATATTCCGCTTGCTTGGTTGCTACCGGTTTTTGGAACACTTGGGATATGTTTTTATTTAGGACCAAAAGTTTTGGGTTTGTTTTTTCAAAGCAGATAAATCTGAGTAGCTGAAGAAACACTGCAAATAGATTTTTTTTTTTTTTTAAATTTTGGGGTTTTTTTCATTCATTGCATTAAGCACATCCAGTCTGTGACAGATCTCAGTTTGGAATGCAAATTTCTGTGCTGATGATGCCCTCAATTTTTAGGAGGAAAGATCACTTGTGATAACTGCTTAGTGCATCTTTTTTGTTTCCTCCACCGAGAGCCATGTATTCTGCAGTTCCAGACGTGGTCTGAAGAGTGGGAGTAACCAGGAGCAAAGAAAAGCCTGAAAGAGTAGGGGGTGGGGAAGAAACCTATTCCAAATGTCCAGATTTTAATTTTGCAGAATGCTTTCTAGCTCTTTTGTTTGTAAAGGCAATTTAATTAATACAAGTTGAGGTGGAGTTTGCCTCCCCTGCTCCAGTACAGGATCCTCTGGGATGTTGTTCACAGGTTTTCTTGAAAGTGGCAGGAAACATTATGTAAGTTATTGTCGTGGTGAATGTTTAGAGAAATCAGAGTTTTCTTCTATTGTATTAGATTTAAATGGACTTGTTTGCTTCTGGGATAGTAAAAGAATAAAAGCTCTTGTCAGAATCCAGTGCTCTGGGACAGCTGTAAAATAGATCTCTGGCTGTTTTTCTCATCACTTAGTAAAAACCACAAACAAAACCTACTGATAAATCTTGTCTAACAGAAAAAGTTTCTCCATTTATGGTTGACTGCAGCATCTAATCTGACTCCAATTCAAACAGCGGCAGCGGCAGCGGCAGGGATGGGCATGCTGCCATTCTTTCCGAATCAGCACATTGTTGGACAAGCTATACCAGGGCAAAATAACGCTCCAGATAAACAATCGCCTACCGAAGCGGTCGTCTCGGGATCGCAGCCTTATCATCACACCTTAACAAATCTTTCTGCGGGAGCTTTGCATGCTGGACATGCCAAACAACAAAATCAACTAAAAAGCACTGATCCAAGTTTGGGGGTAAGGAACTCAGAATGCAAATATTTTCTTTTTTTCCTTTATTTCTAGTGTGCGGGTTTTCTCTTTTTCTTGTAACGCACTCAAGAGTTAACTGCAACTGCTTATTGTAGTTCTTAGCTATAAAATTTGCTGGATGACAGGACCATCCCTGAGACATTTTAAGGTCATTTCAGTTATGAATAATAGGAAGAGAACAATAATGCTCTTTGGTGGTCCAAATTAATTAACAAAGGAATCTTTTTACAATGCTGGAGGTTTTTTTTCCATGCGTATGCCTCATAGTATTTGATGATGAAATTATCTCGAGGGCTGCATTCCTTTTAAAGACTGAAAATGGAGCTTGCAGATGAATTTCATGACAAGTCAGGGGCAATTCTGGTAGTATATAGGACTTTTGGGGTTCCAGGTGGTATGTGTGTGTGTGTATATATATATATATAAATGTGTGTATGTAAATTTTCCACTTTTAATCCGTACTCTCTTAGCCATAGCTGACGTATTCTTAATCTGTATCAGTTTTAATTCTCACCTCCTTGAAGGCAGGGGGCTGAGAGGGTGATGGAGTGAGATTCTTTTCCTATCATTAACAGAATTTACTTTTTTTTTTTGTAATATACATAAATACTTTGACATTTACAGGGAAACATGTTCTTCACTCAGATCAAATCCATGTTTTCCTTTCATATTTTCTGAAGCATCTGAAGTGAGTAAATTAGGTACAGTGTCGGTGTCTGCTTTTGTTAGACAGCTTTGGCAGATTTAGTCCTACTTTAGAAAGTACACTTTTCATTTTTTAAATGCTTTTTTTTACGGTAATGAAGTGGTTTTTTTCTCTCAGTGGGCTTTGAAAAAACAAACAGAATAGATGTGGAGAAGATATCCAGGGTTCATTTGTCCTTTTATTTGCTTGTGACTCTGGGTGAGAAGAGTTGATTTTTGTCTTGGCTATGAGCTTGACTCCCTACATCTGGGCTAATCATGGTGGTTATTATTCATTTACTTGAACACAAAAGGTTTTCTTTTGCTTGTTTGTTTTTCAATATTTTTTAGTAACTTCGAGTCTAAAGAGAAACATTCCTACAAAATTATGTGGCAGGAGAAAAGTGCAGTCAGTGTGTGTCCAGATAGTTGTCCCCAGTATTTATTTTGAAAGTTTTCCAGTTACATGCGATAATGTGAAGCTTTTTTCAAAATCCTGCAAGGCCACTTCCTTTAGTTCTGACAAACGACCTGTCCAATTTTTTCACAGACTCCTTTGAAAAAACAGACTTCGTTGTTAGGAGAACCACCAAAAGAAATACGTCTTAGTACCAACCCCTACTTGAATTTGGCAAGTGTGTTGCCTGGCATCTGTCTTCCTGGTAAGCAAACAAAACCCGTGGTTTTAGCTGCAAGTTTCCTTGACCAAAGTGTGGCAAATGACTATTCTGTTTGGCACGTATTTCCAGTGACCACAGCATTTATCTTTAAAGACCTCTTGTGGTCTGTCTTAAAATCACAAAGCGATTCTATCCTGATAATATTTTATTTGGGAAGAGTCGATTTTCAGAGTTAATGGGTTTACGGATGTGGACAAACTTCTAGAAAGCCTTTCGGTTATTAGTAGCACTGATTAATTTTGAGCCCAGCCTAAACTAAAGTAGCAAATTTCTGTTGCAGTCTCTGAATATTGCTAAACAAGGGTGCAATCCGATTTGTGCAGTTTATGCAAACTTTGTATTCGCTGTGTTCCAAACAGCAATTGCCAGCAAAGCCTCTAGTCCACCGCAGCAGACAGGACTTCCGAACAACATCGTGGATGCTGCTGTGTCTCAGGGAACTCTATCACAACACACGGTGGAAAATTACTTTAATTACTCACAACAGCATGGGGACTACACACAGGTACGTTGTTTCGCGTCGCTTTCTTCCGAAGCCTCGTGTGTCACCGATTTTTGGCAGGGATCTGCTCAGAGATCCCTCCCTGAGCTGCTCGTTGTTTTTTCTCTGTGTACTCTTAACGCACTCCTCGGTACACAGGCAGTCTGGGCACCCTGCGTGCAGTTTGGTGGCATTGCCCAGCACCACGTACCACTCTCCAAGGGTCTCTAGGCTTTCCTACAAAGCCCACCTGCTTCTTTAGATTGAACCTTGCAGGTCCTGTTCACTGACAGTTGTTGATCTGTTTCAACGTGCGGAATAGTTTTAGCACAAAGTACTCCTAATGCCAGTCAAAAAAAAAACAAAAAAAGCCTGGAGACATTCCCTGCTGTAGTGTCGTAATTGTTGAAGGATTGCTTTTTTGAGAACCTGAATTGAGTGCAGTCGGCTAAAAAATTACCCTCATACAACTTCTGCCTTGGCTTTTGTCTGTCTTCAAAACCATGAAGTTTTTCTCTTTCTTTTCCCAAGAAGTTTCCAAGTTTTCTTGAGCCTTGGCTAGATCCCAGGGAAGAGTCTGTTCTCGCTACCAGAAGCTCCTGTATAGCTTGGGCAATGTTTGCTGTTTCTGCCAGCTGGTTGCGCTGCAGGGGATTTCTTCACCATCTGCCTCCTTTGGGGGTCAGCGCACAGCCGTTAAGGGGGAGAGGGGCTGCCCCTCATCTGGAGAGTGTTCCAGTACAGAGAGCAGGCACTGGGGTTCACAGACATCGGGACACCCCGTGAAATAACATATCTGTATTTTCATTAGCCATCGCTAGTCCGTGCAGGAAATACAGTTGTATGCAAATCAAATATGAAAACTGGATCATAGTGCTGTCAGGTAATCTGGGATAAAACCACACAATCGGGTACAAAAATCAGGTAATCTGGCATAAAGATCTTGGGTCTGCACTGAGACACGCACGTTGGCTCTGCTGTCGGTCTCCTTCTGCCCTGTTCCCATCACCTCGTTCCTGGAGCTGTCTGATCTCTCCTCCTGCTGCAGGGAGGCACAAGCTGTGCTCCCCTCTCCCAGGCTGCGGGCAAGGAAATCCGTGTTGCTCCAAAACTCCTGGGGTAGATGCAAGGCGGACGGCCAGGTCTGGAGGAGGGAGGACGCGGGGGTTATTTGTGTTGGGAGGGGCTCGGCCGGTTGCTGCAGAGTTTTGCCAGGGACCGGAGCCATCGGATCAGATCTGGTGAGAGTTTGGGGTTAGAGGAGCAAAAGAGGTGTCCCCTGGGCTGTTGTGCTGTTTCATGTAAGCGTTAACATCATCGTATTAAATACATTTGGCTGTTGGCTTTAAAGTCATTTTGATGTCTTCTGGAGGTAGTTCCTAACCCCAGATCTTTAAACTACTGTCCAGAAAAATCAGTAGTGTTGTGTTCCTAGTGTGAGTAGCAATATCTTTGTAACACGAAGGACTCAGACGATGACAACGTACGTCACCATTCAGCTGTGTTTGTGCTCTGTTCCTCCCACATAACAGGAATACCGTGTACTTGCATCTGCTGCCGAGGCAGTGGTGCCTCGTGTATCTTTGAAGCACTTAACGTAGTTTTAAATGTTTGGTTTGAGCTTTATTGCTGGTGTTTGACACCTTTTTGATGCTTCTCGGAGAGCTTTCCCTTTTCTTAATTCTCGTGCCCTGCAGGGCCATAAGAATCCGTTTTCCTTTAAAGTGATCTTAGTAGACAGCTAATGGGAAGAGGTTTTTTCCTCCTTTATAGGAGGCTGTTCAGCAGTGGTATCAGCATTATGCTCAGGCATATAACTCCACCCAGGCAAGAGCCGGTGAATTTGAAAGTGAAGCCTCTGAGGTGAGAAATAATTTTATTTTCTTGCTGTCTCCCATTGGCTGTTTCTCCCATCAGCTCTAAGGGTGCTTTTTGGACTCTGGACACCCGCTTTGTTTGTCGATAGTGGCTGCTGCCGTCGGTGCCGCGGAGCGCGGGACGAATGGCACTGCATGGGCACCTCCCGCAGGGCATCCCCGCACAGTTACCCTCTGGGATTCATCCTCACGCTTTTTGATTATATCTGACAGAAATATTCCTTTCTCTACAATCCACAATCCAAAGTCACCTGTAAATATCTATCAAGAAGCATCACACTGTAATGTTATTTCCCAGGGAGTCTACTGAAGGATTGTTTCTCGCCCAGGCTATTATTTAGCCAGAGGTTTCTGTGAGGAATTAGGAGCACGCTTTTTTGCCTTTTTATTTTTTTTAAGGGAATTGTGTAAAATGAGCCATCCTGCAATTTTGGTCGAGAAATTGCTGCATGCCTGAGCTGCTGTGGATTGTACGCTCCTTAGAGCAAGTGAGCGTGACTTGGATATTTTCATACCTGCCGAGTGCTCATTACTATATCAAGTAAAGACGAATTATTAAACCTATTTTCTTTGAATTTCTGGTTGATCATGGATCCCGTTCTGCGTTTAGGAATCTACAGGTGGATCTCACACAGACTACAGTACCTGCTTGCAGGTCATGCCTACGCTTTACAGTGGAGCCCAGGCATCCCACCAGCCAGGCAGCTTGCAGCTTCCTCCACAAAACCCATTAAATAAGGTGAGAGGAGAGCCAAATGCAGGTGGAAGAGCTTCCTGTTTGTCTTGCGCTGCCACCGAGCGGACCTTGGACCCACAGCAAGACACGACGGAGCTTTCCCACTGCACCTGTGCTCCTCACGGTCCTGAGCTGCTCAGAATCACGCGCGGTTCCCCGTGGATGTGATAACCCAGCGCCAGGACCCCACAGAGCCCTTCAGCTCCTCTCTGCCCCAGAACCACGCAGGCAAAGGAAGGCTGGATGTTTGCAAACAAACTGCTTGGAAAGATGGTGTCCGTGAGGGTGAATGTGCAAAAATGGCTCAAAGGAGGCAAGTAAGATAGAGGGTGAACAGAAGAGGTAGTTCATCCTGAGTTTAAATGGTCTGTTTTGCCTGACTTGCAGATGTTTTGCAGTGAGTGTCACTGGGATAAAACCTGGAGTTGGCAAGTCAAGGCAGCATCCAGGTTACCCACAGCCTCTTCACTGGCTCCTGGGAGGAAAACCATTTTGGTTTTCATTTGAAATTATAACAGCTGTCAGATGCAACCTGCTTCAGCCAGACTCATTGAGCAAAGCTTCCTTTGCGTGTCACCCTCAGCAGACAGTTAATTTTCATTGATAGACGCCGTGGGAGGGGTGAGGAAATGCTGTCGAAGCGGTGAGGACCAGTTTAAAGGAGGCTGGACTAACAGGAGGGTGGCTTAACAGACTGAGCCAGCAGTGATAAAAGCTTTTTGCACCCTTGGCACGGTGTCTGGGCTTGCTGAGAGGAGCCACAGCTGAAGCCAGTGGCTGTGTCTGAGGGAGCTCAGGGCCCTGACCTCATGCCCGGCTCTCATCCTCCCGCACGGCTTGAAATCCCTTCGCCGCACAAAAGTTCGCAGCAGGATTCAGCACGTGATGTTCTGGCGCTTAGAAACTTGGACTTGGCTTGCGATTCCTGGGTTTTGGAGGAGGTTTAGAAGGAATGTAACTAGGAATTTGTGACAAGGCCTGGCTGGACCTGGCTTTGACACATCTTAGGATAAAGATGGCCAAGGCCATCTTTTTATCACACGTTGCCATGGGCTGTGAGATCTCTAGCTGTGTACAGCAAAAACATGGAGCTTTCCGGCTCCGATAGCTCTGATCTGCTTGGAAACGAGTGAAACAGCAACACGAGAAGGAGATAGTCTGGGGGTTGTGCTAACAACCTTTCAGTTTATCTCCTGTCTAAAGAGGAAGGCTTGTGGGTGGAGGTGATGTTGAACAGCTCGCTCCAAAGTCTGTCTTAATGCCAGATGCCATAAAAGGCAGAGAGCGGTCAGTCGCTCGGCACAGAGTCTGCCTCCGCGGCGAGGCAATTCTCTCATTCCTGGAATCAAAACCTAACTCTCAGTGAAGAGGGCACGCGGATCCCAAAAGCCTCCATATTGGTTACGAGTGTGTGCTTGTGTGGGTGCGCTTGCTTTGACCCCGCAACCTGTTTTTCTCCTGCTTCCCTGGGCTGCAGGTCAGAGGTTCAGAAGGAGCTCGGTGGGCAGAGGTTTGTACGAAGCACGGAGGGGTGACGTGCTTTGGGAGCAGGCCGGGACGTGGCAGGGGCTTACAGTGCATCCCCACGGGGGAAAATTAAAAGGCTTTCCTGAAGCAGGTTGCAATTTTTGATAAAACCAAGTGTGCACTAAAACAAAATTGGGCTTAGCAGAGGGTAGTAAATTGAGTTGTGAATGAGCAAGTGGGGCTTCTGAGAACTGCTTGGAAGCGTTTGGCTCGGGGACATTTGGTCAGCAGAGCTCTCCTGGTTTGTGACACAAGGTTTTTAAAATACTTGCTCCAACATGAACCCAGCCCCCCACGTCTTCTGAGCTAGGAGCCAGGCTTAACCCAGGATGCACAAGGAGGTTGAGCGGGACGTGGTGAGATCAGGTTTTGGTGGTCGTCACAGGGCAGATGTTTTGGTCTTTTAGAACAAGGTGACTGTTAAAGGCCTTCAGCAATGAAATTCGTGATGTGTTGGGGGAAAGAGAGACGTGGTCAAGAGACACTGATCAGGGTGGTGGGCTCGGATGTGTGTGTGTACAGCTTCTGGTGCCATGGGTGCGTGGATAGTGCAACGCCCTGCTCTGATGGATCCCAAAGAGGAACTGAACCCAAGCCCTTCATGGGGGCCAGACTTAGATCACCTGTGCCCTCACCAGACACCCAGCTCCAGGGCCCTCAGGCCTTCCTGTGTATCGCACCAAGGCATTTTAGGAAGTTCTGGTAAAAGAACCTTCACGTGGGTACCATGGGTGGGCTCACGCTCGTGAGCGGCAGGTGGGTACCCATAACCCGCAACACAAACCCGCTTTGCTGTGCCTGGAAACCAAGTCCTTCTGTGTCAGCCTTGCCATGCTGGGACAGTTTAACCCATTCAGCTCTCCAAAAGGAAGGAGAATGAAAGGTTGGTCCTCTGGGGCGTTACTTTTGAGGATGAAAGGTTCTGAAGCTGCTGTGACACTGCAGGGCAATAGCATGGCTGTTACACTAGTGTTTGTTTGTTGTTTTTTTTTTTTTAAAATGCCCGGAGCTGGGCCACGTGGCCCAACCGGCCCTTTGCCCTCACAGAAATGCGTGTATGGTGCGGCACCAATGCCTTTTTACTGTTCGTTTGTGGCTTTTCTTTCTTTTTTTTTCTTTCTTTTTTTTTTTTTAGGGAAAGGGCACGAGCACTGACTCATGAGCCGTGTATAACTGGACCTTAAAGCTGAAGGAGTCAGGCCTTTGGCATCGGTTACTGGCTCCTGGTCCTTGGTGCTTCCCAGAGCTTTATTTATTGACGCTGTTTGTTCTGGGATCACGTGTCACCTGTTTTTCTTCTTGTCCTCAGGCGGCTCCGATGAGAAGCGAGAAGCGAGGCTCTTCGTATCTCATTCCTTCCCCGGAACCTGGCCCCCTGGAGTACCTCGGCCAGCAGACTCAGGGCTCCGCAGTACGTTACGCAGAATCCTCGCTTAAAAAAAAGCGTGTTTATTGAGTCCCAAATTATCGCTCCTGCCTTAGGGTGTGAAGGCAGGCTTTCGTACCTCTGCTATTTATTGCTGCCTTAACTTCCAATGAATAATTCTTTCTGTGTGGGTTCTAAGTATCCCAAGTGGAATAACCCTCTGTAACGGGCAAATCTGCCGCAGAAACGGCCCGTATTGCTCCGTGGTGTCTCTGGAGGCTGACTTGCCTTCTGAACGGACAGGCTGGCATTTCCTTTGTCACCTGCCACTGAAAATAACCGTGGGCTGAGGCTGACAAAGCAAAAGTAACTCGGTAAGTTTTGGTAACTTACCAGCCGAAAGCAATAAAAATACTGAGGAGGGACCGCTGAGCCTTTCTCCAGTCCTCAGACTGAGGGATTTAAAAGGTGAAGTCTCAAGTCTCAATAGTAATTCTTTTTCTTATTTTTTTAACTCAGAATGTGGGGTGGGTTTTTTGTTGGTTGTTTTTTTTTTTTTTCAATCTTACTTTTTCCAGTATTAAGAGTTCCACATTTACAGCCTTTGTATTTTTAATATTTCCTCTTAATCCTGGAATGGAGATATACCAAATGTATTACCAGAGCCTCTGTGATGTTTTCAATAAATGTTTATTAAAAGTAAGATGCAATGCTGCGTGCTGCCTTGCAATAATCCAGCTGGATCAGTGATACATGGACAACAAAGCAACCTTTAGCTGCATTAGGCTGAGAAGCCACAGCTTTTCCTTAGAATAAGCAATTTCATTTGTGACTGCAGCTGAGCAAAATGGTGTGGGTGTGGCAAAGCCCTCTCCTCCTTCCACCAGGGAAAGGTAACTGAAAGGTGAAGAAATCAACTCGCTGTTGGATTTTTTTCTGACTCCTGGATTGGCATGACGCAGAGCAGAAGCAATACTGACACGCTCCTTGGATGAGGTCTTTAATCCTTCTCTCTATTGTTTTTTTCTTCCCTTTTTTTTTCCCCCCAAGCATCTTAACTTTTGCATGAAGTAGTTCTTACTAGAAGAAAACAGTTATTTACTGGCTCACTGGTCCTGGGAGTGCACTGCAGGCTCACAGTCACACGCTGGGACCCACTGCAACCCAGCCATCACCAGTTTGATTGTATTTCTCATTTTTGGGGTTTTGTTTTTGTTTTTTTTAAAGACTGTGTATTTTTACTTTCTTCATTAAGCAACTCCAACTAGAGTTTTAGGGGTTTTTACAGAAAGGACAACTTTCAGCTGCTGGCTACTTTTTTTTTTTATTTTTTTTCCCCCCCCCCCTCTTTTTTCTGCTGTTGCTCTTTGGAGCTGAAATCATTACTTTTGAAATCAGCGACTGTGGCACACCAACGAGGAGCTGGGCAGTGTGGGTTTGTGGCCTCGGAATCCTGTTGCAAAGTCATTTGAACTGAATTCAGTGACCCCAAGATCCTTCTTAATCTTGCTAGCTAATACTGAAGTGCTTTTTTTTTGTTGTTAAAGGAAAAAAACACCAAACCACAAACACACACAAAAAAAACCCACCAAACAAAAAAACAAACAGCACCTTAAACGCTGCCTTTCAAGCTTTGCGCTGTGACCAGGATACGTTTGTGGGGTTTTTTTGAAGCATAAAAAAGAAACAACTCCCCCTCCCACAGCAGGGGGGGTGGTGCAGCTGCTGGGCAGTAGCCAGCCACATGCAGCTTCTCGGAGCTCTTCTGGGATTCTACATGTCTGTATTGATAAATTCATTTGTACGATTTCGTTCAAACTGTTTGTATCCATGACTTTTTCAAATTGAAAATAAATCCTTGGTACACGTTGCAAGTGGATTTCTGTGAGAAGAAAACATCTCTGGACTACCCTTTAGTAATCATTTCAGAGAGGCTGTTTTGAACACAGCATGTGCTGGTTTCCAGTCCTCTGGCACTTATATTTAAAAATCTTTGTTGAATTTACGATTTAAAAAAAAGAGAGAACACATGGAGAAAAAAAAAACACCTCACTTTATTAGCTTTGTATAAAGAGTAACAAAGTGCTTACAGATTTAAATCAGGTTCCTAAGTGACATACAGAAAAAAACCCCAGGTAATACTGTAAAAATAAATCTGACCTCATTGCAGCTCATAATTACAA